GGCGCCGGACGCACCAATAATGTACCTTCTGCTGGTACTGGTTTCATGTTCACGATTTTACGAACTCCTTGAGCTGTTTGGACTGTGAGCATTCTGGTAATGTTTCTCAGAATAATGGATTATGTAGTATGAGAAACAACATTGTGAAATCCCAGCAACGCATGCATAACTGAACACATAGAACAGAAGATTTCACTGATAACAACTTCAATATCGTACAATCGTAGTTCATGGGTATCTATAGTAGTATAGCTCCGCCGAAGGAAAAGAATAACGCCGCGAAACAATATCGTGTGAATCGTAAGAGGGGGATAAGACGTGAGAACTCGGTCAAATCTGGGAGTATATCAGCACGGAGACCAGAACACAGCCAAGAACGGATCTTACCAATCTCAAAGGCATACGGGCTGGGATGCGCCCATTGTGGAGGAGCATAGCAATGTTCTTGTTCGGAGTGGCTTGAAGCTTACGATAAGCCTCACGGATGTGTCTTGGCTCAACCGGTGTACGTCCCTCTTCGGGAGGATCAAAAAGACCGGTTTCTCGCTTCCGCTTCTTCGTGTTCTCACCTGCTCCGCTCTCGGCTCCTCCGCGACGGATCTTCTCACGGTCCTCACGTTCCTTGACCTTCAGAGCTTCTTCGGTCAAAGTCTGAACTATCTCAAACGTCAAGAACCCAAGGATATCGACGATATCGTCATTGGGTTTGGACTCAGTCACGATGCCAAAGCCAGCCCACTCTCGAAAACGCTTGCTCTTGCGATAGGTAAACGATGCTTGACGGCATTCCGACCAGAACACATACTCTTCTCTGGTCATGTTCTTTGTGCGTTCATCAGCTGCTGCAAGACGTTGAAGAGTTGCATAATTCTGCTCCTCTTCCTCCTCATCTTCTTCGTCTTCCCTCTCCGGTACCTGGACGGAGTAGAAGCTGTTTACATCCCACACAAGGCCCACGCGCGCTCTCTTGTTTTTCGGCTTGGAAGCAACGTCTTGGGGCCCAGCAACAACGCCTCCCGCAATCGGGTCGTCAGCACCTGCGAAGTCCGCAGCGTCGGCGCCGCCTTTATCGTCCGAGTCTTTGACATTTTTACGGACATCTTTCCAGGAAAGGAAAGTCTTAAGACGTGAGACTTTAGCCTTGTCATGTCGAATTAAGAATATCAAATCATCAGTGGAAATGGACCGCACGCCCCGACGTGTAGCCAATGTTGTGCTTCGTGCGAGCTGCAGTGACAGTGTTAATCAAGCATCACGCTTCATGGAAGGAAGAGCATACGATTTCAATCACTTGCTGGCGAACGATATCCTCAATAAGCGTTGTGGTTTCAACGGATGCTTCGGCAGTCTCTCCAGAGACGAACATCATCTGCGAAAGAGGTCAGCAAGCTGAGGTCGAATTCTCGCATGGTACGCGAATTCGTTTCCGAATGATTGACGCCTTCTCGGACGGCATCCTGAACATCTCCGTCTGATACAGATCGAACCGAACAATGTGAGGCACTCAGGTCAGAGGAAGCATCAAAACCATGGCGAATCAGCAAGAGATGCCTCGTCATCATATTCGAGCTTCCCGGTGAGTAGAAGATGCAGCAATTGAAGTGCAGTGATCTGCCTCCCCAGACGGCTCGCTCTTTCTGACGAGTGGATGACAGGAAGACGACACGAGAGCGAGGCGCAATCAACGTTGTTGACAAAAGGATAGGAGAACAGGTGATAGCAAGATTGGTTTAACACAGGGTATATAAAAGAAACAGCTCATAGAATAGCAAGTCCTTGCAATACATCACTAGTAGAGGATAACATATCGAGAGAAATCGGGTGCCGACTACACGATATGCCCCAATCCAGATACAATCAATGGTAAAGAGACCAACGATACCCGGAGCTTTGAGCCAAGCAGACGAGCGAATACAAAACGATAGGCAATGAAATCATTGCAAGCCATCGTTCGAGATGAAAGAGCTGAAAGGGTACTACAGAAAAAGCCGCTGACTTACCTGCTGGATCTCCTGCCGATACTTCGGTGTTCGATCGGTCGTCATATTGAATTCGCTTAACGCAACGATGGGCTTCAATCAGACGTAGAGACCGGAACGTAAAAGAGAAAGTCTGATGAAGGATGACACTCCCAATTATCAGACTGCACGACACTCACGCTTAAACTATAGAACGATCTGATCTGATAGGAAACAGACCAAGCGCGGCCAGGGACCATTCCGAAGCTCGGGGCTTTTGTTTTTCCGCATTCCGCTTATCCCGCCGTAGCTGGTGGGGTGGAAGATAGAAATTCTGGACGGGGGTGACATTCTCCGCTCTACAGACGTCAAGTCCATTGGACGAATATTGCTATTGAATTTTCATCCAAGATGTTGTACCTCGTTGGTCTTGGTCTCGCTGATGAAACTGACATCACTGTCAAAGGCCTGGAGGTTGTCAAGAGAGCTGAGCGGGTTTACCTTGAGGCATACACAAGCATTCTGCTAGTGAGCAAAGAAAAGCTAGTGAGTCCATTGCGAGGCGCTGCTGTATGATAGTTGGCTAAAGAATGAACTGGTGCATTAGTAGGAAGCGTTCTATGGACGTCCCGTTATTGAAGCAGACAGAGAACTGGTTGAGACCGGCAGTGATGAGATACTGGCTGGAGCCGACAAGGTGGATATCGCATTCCTTGTAGTTGGCGATCCTTTTGGGTAGGTTCCCTCGCATTTAAGGATCGTCCGACGTTGCCTAATTGCCTACAAGCGCCACGACACATACGGACTTGGTTCTCCGAGCTCGAGAGATGGGCATTGAATCCAAGGTTATCCCGAACGCCTCGATTATGTCCGGCATCGGCTGCACTGGTCTGCAACTTTACAATTTCGGACAAACTGTGAGCATGGTGTTCTTCACGGACAACTGGAAGCCATCCTCTTACTACGACCGGGTCAAGGAAAACATTCAGTTAGGTCTCCACACATTAGTGCTCTTGGATATCAAGGTCAAGGAGCAATCGTATGAGAACATGGCCAGAGGACGGAGGATATTTGAACCCCCGAGGTACATGACCGTCGCTCAATGTGCGAGCCAGATGCTGGAAACCGAGGAAGAACGAAAGGAAGGTGTCTTTGGACCCGACAGCCTTGCGGTCGGAGCTGCTAGAGTCGGCGGTCCTGATCAGAAACTGGTTGTGGGCACTCTCAAAGAACTGTCAGAGGTGGATATGGGGCCACCTTTGCACAGTTTGGTGTTGCTTGGAAGAAAAGCACATGATTTGGAGAGGGATTATATCAGAGAATTTGCTGTGGATAAGGCAACCTTTGATGCCAGCTGGAAGAAGGGATATGGGGCAACTTCATGATGATTTAAGTGATACATTTGCCTAATTCCTTTAGAGAATACAACACGGGCGCAATAGCACTCCGTACATCAAAGTCATAGTATTTAAGTGGAGATGATCGGAGATTTACCTGCCTAGTTTTGAAGTGCAGTAGTACCATAGTTCCGCATGGGGATACTCTGCGCTAAAATTAGTGCATAAAAACAGTCGTTAAATATCTGATTGTTTGCATATCAATTGTCAAAAGAGGCAGAGCGATGCAGACAGGTCCAAAGGCGCATGGTGACACCGTTGCACCATTCTTGAAACATTCGTCGACGGGGTTTTGAGTTAGCGCCAAGTTCCCAGTCCACCTGGAAAATGATCGATTAAATGCGACAGGTAGCAAACACCTCTTTCCACCCTGCCATACCTTTTGTGCAACGGCATGCCCTTCGCACGACTTCAAGGCTAATATGAAGTTGTGCATACAGTCATTTGGGCCATTGCACCCTCGCTTCTCCAGCCAGAGACGACAGATTTAGCGACCGATTCCAGCTCATCCCCGCCATGCCTGTATACATGGTCCACGGCTTCCGGTGGCCACGCGCCGGCTTCACCGGTATCCGAGTCTACATCGTTCTCCACAACCTGGAAGACGCTACAGCGGAATACGTCCAGCAACCGGCGACAAGTCGACTGCTCACCGAATGCTTCAAGAAGACGGATCCGGATATCGTAGCTCGTCTACCGGACCTACAATTCATCGAGCAATATGACCCCGAAGACACCGATAGCGCAACTGCCGTCAGCCAGCCTTATGCCTACGTCGCGGCCAAGGTGATCACACTCTCCGAACCTGGTGCTAAGGCGCCCGGGCTCAGCTGGAACCCCGAAGACTTGGCTAAGGACTCCCCTTTGGATCCAAGTGCCACGGAAGCCCTGACCCAACTCCGAGATAAATACGCCGCAGGCGAGAGAATAGGCTGGTGGATTGTTTACAATGGGGACCCGGACAGGGCTTTCCCTCACTCCGAGGAAGACGACAGTTATGATGAATACGATTATGACGATGATGACGATGATGAGTACACGGAATCAAATGGCGATAGTGTTAGGAATTCAACGGCACCAGAAACGCCTCCTAGCCCGGCGGTAAGCCTTTGCCCCTCGTGCTGCTGAGGTTGATATTTGTGACAGATTATACTGATATTTTGGCGCATTCAAGGCTCGATTCCCCGTGAAGTTTGCCAGGTTTTTTGGCAGGTAAACGGCAATATACTAATAACTTACGGCGAACGGATCTCACAATCTCCCATTTTCTTGCGATTTCTTGCGGAAGGACTCTTTCATAACACCTTGTCATAGCATTTGTAACCTAGGAGTATCGGTTCTACAACAGTTCAGTCTCAACATTCGCATCGCAAATTGCCATTAAGTCTGTCGCTCTCTAGATGTAGAAAGGAGTGTAACCAGTCACTAAGCTTAGTAGTATCGAATCCGCATCTATCGTCATCGACATATCTTGATCGTTAACAGCGAATATCAGTGCCATCTCATAGCAAAGGCGGTGAGTGGCGGCAATATAGGATCGTGGCCCTGATACCATTGCGGAGAACCTCCCGGAGGTAGTGACTGACATGTGGTCTACTACGCCGCCTCATCAATTCTGCAAACCGCCGGGGAAATAAAAAGCGGGATGGTTCTTTCATTCATACTGGTGCAGAACCGCCAGTGAGTTACAGGCTCTGGACTGATTGAGTTCGCCTTGCCTTCTAACAGATGAACAGGGGTAAGACACGCCTGGCGAAGTGGTATGCGCCTTATAGCGTAAGTTGTCTTATCTTTCTGCTTTTGGTACGAGGTGCTAACTCGTAACTTGCGTAGGATGAGGAGAAAATAAAACTCAAGGGCGAAGTGCGTGGTCTTCCGACAACCCTCCTTCCTCTGCTATACAATATCGAATTCGCACGACTAACCGGTTGATATCAGGTTCATCGCCTTGTCGCTCCCAGGGATCAGAAGTATCAGTCCAACTTTGTTGAGTTCAAGCGGAGTACAAAGATTGTATACCGGAGATATGCAGGGCTGTTCTTCTGTGTGTGCGTTGACGCGACGGACAATGAGCTAGCCTATCTAGAGGCTATACATTTCTTCGTCGAGGTCCTGGACCAGTTCTTTGGCAATGTCTGCGAGCTGGATCTGGTGTTCAACTTTTACAAGGTGCGTGCGGTCTATTTAGCGTGGTTATAGCCAGGGACATCGAGGGCTGCAGGAGATGCAATCCGATTGTGGAACAACCATGGTGCTAACTGGAGGATGTGCGCAGGTATATGCGATTCTTGATGAGGTGTTTCTCGCGGGCGAAATCGAGGAAACAAGCAAACAGGTTGTGCTTACGAGGCTGGAACACTTGGATAAGCTAGAGTGAGCACTTGGGGGCCAAATTTCGTCGCAAAGGGTTTCACTCCCTTTGCCGTTACGTTGATAAAGCGGACGTTAATTTGCATCAAGGTGACCTTGGGATATGGTCATCTCACGGAGTTATGAGGGCTTGATTTAAGGATTGTCACATATTTGGGCGCATTTCTCATGACGTCCATATCTGCATCATATTCACCGTTCTCTCTTGTATCTAATTTCGAATACATTGATACCCTATTTGTGGGAATTGAGGGTTCAGAAGTTAGGCAGCACAAATGAGAGATGCACTGTGTAGGGCCAGCGAATAACAGCCGAAAAAACTGCCGTGTGCTTGAACAAGGCTAGCGGGGTACATGATGGTCAGAGATGCCGACCTAACCCATCCAACAGCAACAGGCAGCAATAATACCAATAAGATCTATGATCTATCAGGTTGCAGCCACTTCATTTAAGCTCAATTAACGTTCGCGAGCTAAATCTGACTGCCTGGGATCTGAGTTAAAGAGAACTTCTTACCAAAACTGGGATGGTTGAAGAGAGTGAGGTGACCGGGGTCTGCGATTGCGATAGTAGTAGATATTATGACAACATGTCTTGGCATCAGGTATAAGAAGGCACAATACCAGGTTCCTTCCGAGTCTTTTGCTTGATGCCATGTTCTCTCATGGCGGAGCAGAATACAATCTCTTTCTCTATCCCTCTTTGAACGATTTGACTTGGACATTCGCCTCTCTTGCGGGCACATGGGCGGATTACATGGCTCTCAGTTGCTCGCCCAGGTGGAACAAGGCTATAGATAAGAGCTGACATGTAGCAAACTCACAGGCGACTCAGAGATCAGCAGCCTTCTGAAAGGCCTTATGGGTCATACTCCCTACGGTACTACATGGGATGATGATCAGGAGCTCCACATGAGGCCGACGGCGACTTTTCGACAAGCGACCATACCACTCATACTTTGAGAGTTCAGATTACCCAACCAGAAGCACCTATCAATTTGAACAGTTGTCGATGACCAATACCTACCATCTACCAAGTCAGACTGAACTGGAGCCTGTCGAAGATCATCATAAGGCATCCGACGCTTCTTAACGTATCAACAAAAAATCGATGTCACAATCAGCCGTCTCCGTTTCTTGGCTTCCCAGGCCATCCACCCAGTGGCCCAGGAGCCTGAAATCGCGACTACCACTGGCACCATGGCACGAGTCAATCCAGGTCGATCAAACGGCAGATAGGGTGGTCTTCTCGAAGATGCAGCTTTGATTTGTGGCGACGACAATTAAAGGGGAAATGAAGATGACCACAACAGTGATCAGTCACGCATGGGCAACAACACGGCAGACGGGGACTAATCGGCAGAGAACCACATTGCCACTTGCCTTTAGACTTGAATCCACTTTCTTTGATTGCCTTGACGGGACGGAAGACCAAGAAAACGCAACCTTCGAGGCTATACAAGTGGACCTCCGTACGGACATCTCAATACCAGCACGAAATCAAAGGTAAACAGGGCAAGAAACACACGACAGTATTACAGATTTGCAGGGTTACTTACTCCGTACTCATTATCTCGCTTGCGGTTGAAGAGGCCCAGTCCCCCACCCGGAATATCGGCCCTGTTCTAGAAGGATAAATGATACGGTCATCCTATCCCCATCTAGTCTTTTGTACCGAGTTCTTGCGGAGTTTAGCCCGAGACTGACACTGGACGTCAAATGTAGTCTTGGCAATGTTACAAATTTGCAAGTCCGATTACAAAGGCATTGGACTTGTCCCAAAGCCCGGAGGACCGAATTCTATGCATGACCGTTATCTGGCGTCTCTGCACTCTCTACGGCTGTCGCATGCTGCTTCATAGAGCGTTGTCTCTGCTTTGGAAAAAGGATTTGAATCGATTCATAGCCAAACTCACACAGGGGTATCTCAGGGAAATTCCAAGTTCTAGACTACCTAACTTATGTGCAGGTCATGATACCTGTATGGAGTACGGATAACCCGTTATCATTATGAGTGAAATGTGGGGCGGTACCTGCGTTTCAGACCGTTGTGTACGGATAGGTACTATTTGTCAAGTTCGATACGCGTCAGCACGGCCACCCGCACCCAATCAGGGATCGGAGGCGCACCGTCTTGAGTAATGATCCTTTCCGCATTATCACTTTCATCAGGGTGTCTACGCGGCAGATCTTTTGGGTTTTGTGGTCCGGCGGTCTTGGCAGTTCCCTTCTGTCCACTCTAAGAGGCCCATACGATTGAATGTTCCCCGTCTCAAGTGGCCCCGTTGTCAAGCAAGAGCTTTGTCAGGGGCGTACGCAGTTACACATTTAAAGCGCCTATCTACAAACTAGACACGTACGTTGAGATATCTCTCTGGTGGAAAAAGTCGGAGTGTCTCCTCCTGACGATCCATTGCTTTTTCTTAGGTGCGTCAGCCAGTGACGTTATTGCAGTCGTCGGCGGCGCTTGAACCAAAACGTGGGCGGAGTCAAGACAGATACGGATAGGGAGATCAGAGTTCAACCCCCAAGGTTAGAGGGGTAAGGAGAAAAGTAAACAGGTGGATAGAGGAAGGAGACAGCGTGATCGAGAACAAGAATAGGGAATCAAGAAAAATTACCAACGCCACATTACGCACTAGGTTGATAACCGTCTCCAATGCATACGCGAGTACACTGCAAATGAATCAGAGGATTGCGGATTGCTCCAAGCTTTCATCCGCTTGTAACAGGAGCACTGTACATTGCCAACCCCAATTGGATTACCAACTAATTATTATTCTATATTCACTCTTTCAGATGTTACAAGTTACAGAGTCCTTGGCACCGGCTACTATTTTTTCTGGGAATGGTAGGCACTTAATCTAGTCATACATAACTATCGTTGATCTACATCGCAAGAGGATCGGTCTCCTTTTAAGCACTCCCATCGTCCTTTCTTTGCTTTAACACTACTCTCTTTTAACCTGATTGTGCTCTCTTTGGGTCCTTTGTTATCTCTGCGTCTTGTCCAAGTTTCAAGGTCATCCTTCTACACACTCGTTATCGGCGGATACCTCTTGCGTTTTTCAAAATAAAACACCTAGAACTATACCTTTCTCCCCACAAAATACAATGTCGTTGATGCACGCCGACAACCTGCCTCCTCAGCCTATTACAGATATCTTCACTAGCGACACATGCATTGACCGGAGAAAATGCCACCGGACAGTGCCTATGAAGGTGCTTGCGCTTGGAGTGGGAAGAACTGGCACTGCGTGTATGTTCTGTTCCCTGTGAATCCAAGCCGTATATACCAGTCTGACAGTTTACTAGCCCTCCGCAAGGCCCTTGAGAGATTGGGATACGTCAAATGCTACCACATGATGTCCGCCAGCGTGGAAAACCCTCCTGACTGCCTGATGTGGCACGATGCTCTCTGCGCCAAATACGACGGTGTGGGTGAGTTTGGCAGAAAGGAATGGGATCAGTTGCTGGGAGACTGCCAGGTATGTTTGAATGGCTGGAAAGATAGGTGGGAAGCAACCGCTGATGTCGCTCCAGGCTGTCTGCGACTGGCCCGCTTGCGCCTTCGCCAAAGAGTTGATCGAAGCCTATCCCAACGCCAAAGTCATTCTGTCGACCCGTGATGTGGACTCGTGGCATGCGTATGTGCTGCTCTATAAATTTATTCAGAAGAGAAGTTCAAGTCTAACTTCATCTGCAGTTCCGTCATGAAGACGGTCCACTGGCGTGTCACCGACCCCGAACACCGTCTCGTTTCCCATTTCAGCTGGGCCGCCAGCATGTACTACCCCATGCTGAATAAGTTCTTCGAGACGTTCTTCCGTGGCGACTTCCCCAATAAGGGCAAGCAGGTCTACCTTGATCACGTGGAGGAGGTCCGCAGCCTGGTTCCTCCGGAGAGACTGCTCGAGTACCAGATCAAGGATGGCTGGGGACCGCTGTGCGAGTTCCTGGGCGAGGAGGTCCCAGACACTCCCTTCCCCCGCGGAAACGACATGGCGGACTTCTTCAACCGCTGCCGCACTCGCAACAGGCGCCAGATGATGAACGCCGCTCTGCAGGCTTTCACCATGGGTGGAGCCTTGCTGGCGACTGGAGTTGCTGCTGCCATGGTTTTCAAGCGCTTCTCTCGGTAATGATTTTCTTTTATCCTATTTGATCTGACATGTGCGCTGGCGCCGTGGATCTTTGACCTGTCCCACGTTCTAGACTTTGAACGTTACTTTAATCTCTTCAAAATATGTTTTATGCTGATTCCCTAATGTTACCACTGGTTTGCCCACCTTCGTTTTGCTCGGGGTTTGATCCTCAACGCACAATTGGCGAATGATATCTTCCCATTTGGTCGTGGTCTCTCGTCCAAGACCGCGCGGTGGAGAAATTACTTGGCTCAGGGGCTGGAATTTATAGAGCGAGAGTTCAGACCACCTTTATGAAAGAAATAGATCTCCAAAATGCTGCTGCCTAGCCATCTCAATAAAGCCGAAATGTAATGCTCCTTCCTAGCCTATGATATTTCCACATCTTCAGCCCTACCATTCCTTGGCCTCCTTGGTACATGTACAGGAAGCTCGGCATTCCCAATCATGCCGGCATTCAGTGGAAATTGGGAGGTCACCGGTCTTGGCTGAGACATAGCTTGCGAGATGGGCAGCCCTACCGGGTATGTTGGACGTTCGTTACTTGCCCGCGCGCTTGGCTACAGGAGTAGTTTCTTGGCTGTCCCAGACAGGCAGATATTGCCTCTCGGCTGGAGCATACTGACAATAATTGACGATTTTAATTGTCAGGTATGTAACCTGGTCTTGAGGATGCCGAATACCCGAGATCAAGAACATGTCTCCAGACTGAATCTGAATAGGCAAATCGTGTCTTGTGATATATCAAGGAACGACACCTGCAGGTTACTAGGTATTCATTGATTGCTGCAGCTATCAACTGTCAATGATCGGTCTGGAAGGGACAACACTCAGCAGTAGATAGAATCGTGCCACGTCGATTGGAATCCGTGATGTATGCTCGTAAAGTCGTACGTAGCCCAGTACGTAACCCTATGCAAATATCCTATGCAGTACGCACTCCTTAACTCCATGCCCAACAATCCCTGACGCCAAAACCGGGAGCAAGGATGAAACTAGTCTACCCTAAGGACAGTACTTTATACGAATACGGCGAATGTAGTGGGGTGGCTTCAGCCACAGTCTCGACTACTGGACCGTACTGACGCTGTGGCCTCTGCTAACCTTTGGTGTAGTCTACTCAGAGTAGGTAGCGTGACGTGGCGTAGGTACTGGACGGAGTTCAGATTACCTTTGCCGGGGCTTGTCTGCTCGGCTTTAGGAGATGGTTGATGTTTTGGGACGGGATATATGGTACGGGTATGATACGGTGATGTTATATACGGGCTGTAATATTGGTATGGGATATCTACTTTACTGATACCTAGTAGAATAATACCTGGATATGGTCATCTCAGACAGGGTAGTATACGATCATCAAGCTATAAAATACTCCATCTGTGATTCTCCAAATGGGCCCCAAAACCACGAGTCACGAAAGTTGGGATTTGCGCTGCGTAGTTGAGTGCATGAACTGATCTTCCCTGGCGGGAGCTTGTTTCTTGTGTCGACGTGCACTATCGGCGACGATGATAATTTCATTTGTATCTCGACCGTCGAATCTCAACTTACTGTCAGTCTCATTGGGGCTATTATTTCATCAGGAGACCTGCAATCCATTCCTTGTCATGTATCTAAGTATCATGTATGGACATGCTATTAAAAGCCCCGCGCAACTCTACCAGACCAATCATAGAAAACTGATGGCGTATGCAATGCTCAAGGCCCACCAGACCGGATTTGTTTAGTTGGGTCAGTCTCTGAATCGGTAGAGTCCAGTCTAGGTGGGATCGAGAGATAGGATAGGTACGTCTATGTAGCTAGATAACTACCTTAGGCCCATGGCTTCAGAATGAAAGCTTGAAGCTGCGTTGTCTTGACTCTTCAACTGAGACGCTTAAGTGCTGCGTCAACCTTCCGCGTGTCTCCCGTCTCTCTGCAGATCATTTCCGATCGTCTTCTCTCCCCTGGGGAAAGTGTCACATATATCTCTGAACCTTGTACATCATTCAATACTGTTCCTCGTCGCCCTTGTGGTGTCAACTGCGACCTCTTCGACACTCCCGCCGTCCTTGAGTTCCTTCTCTCCGCCGGAGTCCGAATGCGAGGATATGAAGTATCCATGACATGATTGTCCTCACTCGCGTATCTGGAGGATTGGCTCCGTCATTAGCTTTTCGCTTCGTTTCATTTTTGGTGGTCCTTCTGCTATGTTGCTTCGAGCGCGTCGTCGCAGAAGTCGATTCCGAGTTCAAATCCGTAAGTCTGCTATTTATAACGTTCTTTTTCTTCAACGATAGTGGCGGCGTCTCAATGTGAGACAGGACATTGCAGCTAATCGATGATGTCCGGCGCTATCTCTAGAGGCCTGATCTGTACCCGCCGGTCTTCACCGTTGAACAAAGCGAACCGAAAAAGCTCAGTCCGGGGTACATCTTTCTTGGCCCGTACGAGGCGGATAATTCGGGGCCATATATCTATGATACTGAAGGGGTAGGGTTTATCGCTATTTAAGTCGAACGACTAGGTGGGAAGATCAGCTGATAGTTGGCAGAATTTAGTATGGAGCGGCTGGGGTAATTCKGGGCCTGGAAATGCCCATGGCATGCACGTATGCAAGTACAAGGGAGCGAATCACCTGTGCTTCTTCCAAGGGATCCAGCAGAATGGGTATTGCAGGGGTCATGGCGTCATTATGGACAACCGGTATCGCATTGTCAAGACCGTCACCACCGGCGGAGGGATTGCATCGAGCGATATGCATGAGTTCCGGCTGGTCAATGACGGCAAGACGGCGCTGATGACAGTCTATCAACAGCGGCAGTTCGACATGAGCCTCTGGAATGTCAGAACGGGCATGGGCTGGTTGATGGAGAGCGTCTTCCAGGAAATCGATGTGGAAACGAATCAGGTTATGTTTGAATGGCGGTCTCTGGATCACGTCGATCCGTCCATGAGTTACACCTACCCGTCGTCCACGGACACGTCCGGCACCGGGCTCGAGCCACGGTCTCCGTGGGATTATTTCCATATCAACTCGGTTGACAAGAACAAAGATGGCGATTACCTGATTTCTTCGCGCCATACGAGTTGCATCTACAAGATCTCCGGCAAGGACGGCTCGGTCCTGTGGCGGTTGCATGGCGCCGATCCGTCCTTCAAGAACATCAACTTTAGCTTCTCGCAGCAACACGATGCGCGCTGGCTCGGCGAGAACGCCACCCATACGCTCTTGTCCTTGTACAACAACGGCTACAACGGCTACAACCAGACGCATCCCTATTCGTCCGGCATGATCATCCTCATCGACCACGTAGCCAAGACGGCGACGCAGGTCCGTGAATACAAGCCGCTGAATGACGACATGATCAGCTCCAGCCAGGGGAATATGCAGGTGCTACCGAACCGGAATGTGTTTATCGGGTGGGGGAACAATGCGTATATCTCCGAGCATGACGAGCAAGGCAGACTGGTGTTCTGGGGTTACATCGACAAGGACCGGATCATGAACTACCGGGCCCTGAAGTTCGAGTGGGAGGGCAACCCGACCGACGTGCCCGCTCTGTGGACCTATGCCAAAACCAACGATGGCTTCTCGCCCACTACCTTCTACGTGAGCTGGAACGGCGCAACGCGCGTGAAGCACTGGCGTTTCTACGGCGCCGCAAACTCGACCGGCCCCTACGAGCTCCTAGGGCAAGTCGACAAGCAGGGATTCGAGACCATGTACACCAACTCGACCTTCTACCCCTGGTCGTATGTAGAAGCAGTCGACGGCCAGGGCGGGGTCCTTGGCAAGTCGCGGAACCAGTTCACCTTCACCCCATCGCCGGACGTCCAAGGCTATTGCGCGGACGACTTCTGCAACAAAGCAGAGGCATACGGCTTAGCTGGCGAGGTCGATCCGCAACCGTTCATTCCTCCTGTGGGAATCAATTCCGTTCCTTGGATTGACCCTGACCACCCAGAATCGCACTACAACCTGGGACAACCCGGTGCAGCAGCCCCTACATCCGCACCGCAAGGTGCCAAGGGGCTACATGGTAAGTTCCTGCTTGCAACAGTGTCATTTGGACTAGCTACTGACTATATCCTAGCACAAGCGGGATGGATCGTTCCTGTGACCGCGGTGGCCCTCGCGGTGATCGGGGTGATTTTAATCCTCCGGGTCAGCCGCCGACAGCGTCATCTGCAGCGAGCGAAAGAGCGCAGTTCATCCGAGTCCTTAAATGAGCATGAGGCAAAAGCTTCAACCGGTGCAGCTGGATTGTGCTGGTGGGACTGGCGACGATGGGTCGACTCGCAAAACGAACCGCATCATTACTTTCCGTTATCGGAACAGAGGCCGCATAGGCATGCGGATTCATGATCATCACTTAGATAGATACCCAGTATATAATGGAATTAATGGTATTGTACTTATAACATCAGTCCTCGCATTAAGGTATCAGAACCAACTGGGTACGGTACAATACACTTTGCCAAAAAGACAAATCGTCACAAGATGACAATACACATACCAAACAGCCTGGGATTACGTAAGGGATACAGGAACTGACTGACTCGCGCGCTAAAGGCTTGCGAGTGGAGACTGGAGACACTAGTCTACCTGTACACAGGCAGATAGAGGTTGCAGGGCATACGTAAGTCCATACGTAGTCTATCTGTCTACTTGCTTACGATGAACTACGAATCTAGATAGACCACAATGATGGAGATTAATTTGAATTGATGGCTGAACAGTGGAAGCTTGATTGTGGCCAGATTGGCAGCCAAGAAGGGTACGACGCTTTGATCATAGTCTGTAACATAGATAAGGTAAACAGCGAGACAGCAAAATAGGGCATGACCTCACCTGACCTGCCAAGCTCTGGTCCGTTAGTTTGACCCATGGAAAGAGGTATTATTCAGGAACCAAAGACGGGAAGGAGAGCGAAGATTATGAACTTGCCTAAAGCAGCAACTCCACCCAAGTTGCCAAACAAGTATGTATTTGGGCCACGGCCATATGCTGATCGTTTTACAGAAAGCCTGATCCATTAAGATTGGTCTCATCCATCCGACCATCCGTCTTCCGTCTTCTTGGCATCTAGCTGTCTTTCTCTTTTACTTTCTTTCCGGCTAAATTGAATATAAATAGTGCAATAATTGGGGTAATTCACCTGTTACAAATTCGATACAGTCGCTGTAAAAGGAGGAAGGTTTCATGATGGATTCAGATTCATTACCTTAGCCCGCAGATGTACTCCTGAGGTACCCAGTTACTATACAGTATGTAAAATGTCAACACCAGCACCAGCATCATATCTTGTATCTACTGCTTATGAAAGCATTATTCTCATAAGGTATTAGTATTACTGTAGTTGTCGACTGTGGATAACGCTCTCTAGATTTCTGGGTTACTCCGACTTCCGTTCTCTGTACAGTAAGGATTGTTGGTGATGATTGATTGACCTCCGTTTCATCTCCTGGGCTTCTTGGAGTACATTGTCGTCCAAGGCGACTAGTCCTTCTCCTTAACAATTGTTCTTTTCTATTTCTTTTCTTGTAATATTATTTGACTGCTTTTCAATTGTCACTCCTCCTGTCCAGTCTATCTCTCGTTGATTCAGACTATCTATCGTTCATGTTCTGTCTGAATCGTCGTCATCACAAGCACTGCGCCCCTCCTACTGGCGTAACCATTTTTACTTCGGCTTATCCTATTCTTTCTGTTAAGTTTCTACTACTTATAATCCGCAGCCTGTTGACGTAGTCTCAGGTCGCCTGCAGTGGCGCCCTATCGGATGAACCACGCCCTCGATGCCTGTGCCGGTCCAGAGAAGAGTTTCCCAAGGTAGCCGTCGGCCTTCCGTGACCAGCATTTCGTCCTCTACCCCCATCACTCCAAGTTTTACGACCTCTTTTACTACCACCACCAATAATCATTATCCTCACCAACAACAACATCGGGATGCCCGTCATATCCGGGCCACTTCTTGGACTTCCGGGCACGATCAAAGCGGCGAACCTTCTTTTGCCGATTACCCTTCTGCATCTCATTCACGGCGCCGGCGCGAATCCAACGGCTCTCTCGCAGACCTCACCGAGGGCTCTTCTCCCTCTTCCTCGCTCTCCTTCCACCACCCCAATATGGCTATGAAGACCACTTCGTCAGAATGGAATCGTAGTCATGCCCGCAGTCGCTCCCAAAGTATGGCGCAGATGAATGCCTCCCAGGCTCATTCCACCGGAGCCCCCGCTCCCCGCCCCGGCCCCGTCACCTGGATGTCCCTGCCTAGAAAGAAACAGCTGGTCCTCCTGGGTCTCTGTCGCGTCTTCGACTTCTTACAGGTCACCTCCTTACAAGCGTATATGTTCTACCAGCTCAAGTCCTTCGACGAAACCCTTTCCGACTCCGATGTCTCCACGCAGGCTGGTATCCTCCAGGGCGCATTTACGGCGGCGCAATTCGCGACAGCAATACCATGGGGTCGAGTGGCCGATGCGGAATGGGGCGGTCGCAAATTTGTACTGTTGGTCGGGCTGGTAGGCACGGCGGTGTCCTGCCTGGGAGTCGCCTTCTCGACGTCGTTCGCGCAGGCCGTGTTCTGGCGTTCGTTTGGCGGTGCCATCAATGGGACGGTGGGCATTATTCGCACAATGATTGCGGAGAACGTCAAGGAGAAGAAGTACCATTCTCGCGCTTTCTTGATTCTACCCATTGGGTTTAATATCGCTGCTTTGTTTGGTCCAGGTGAGTCCCTTGTCTTCCAGCAATCTTGCAATGGACACTGACCATTACAGTCATGGGAGGTATGCTTGCCGATCCGGTTAAGAGTTACCCCAGGCTGTTCGGCCCCAATTCTTCTTTTGGAGGTGCTTCTGGTGTGCAGTGGCTCATGAAATACCCCTACGCGTTGCCCATGCTGGCCAATGCCCTTTTCCTGTCATTCTGCGCCACGTGCGTCGCAATGGGTCTTGAGGAGGTATGCATAGATACCCTGAAGACGCGAGAATTCTACTAACCCGCCCAGACTTCACAAGCCTGCAAGGGAAAGCCTGGCCTGGGCGCTTTCGCCATGAAGATTTTCGCCCGTGGTTTGAAGGCTGTCCTTCCATCTTCGTCGCCCCTGTATTCGAGACTTCCGTTTTCCGACTATGACGAGGAAGGTCCCCTGCTGAACCGACCAGTCGATCCTACCGAAAGTTATGAGCTTGAAGAGAAGGCGGCCAAACCTACGAGGCACGCTCGCGTGTTACCGTTCCGACGAATCTGGACAAAGAATGTCCTGTGCACTCTTCTCGCGCAGGCCTTTTTCGATTTCCAGATGGGGTATGTTACAATATCTCTCGATGTAGCTCGTACCATTACTGACGTTGCCAAGTGCCTTCAATAATCTGTGGTTGCTTTTCCTCTCCACCCCTCGATATGATTCCAGTGACCCTGCCAGTCCCGTGCAGAGACTACCCTTCATTTTCACCGGGGGCTTGGGTATGTTGCCTCAGAGCGTTGGCTTCGCCACAGCTATCCTCGGGGTCATCGGCATGCTCCTTCAATTCACCGTCTATCCTTCAATCAACGGCCGTCTGGGCACAGCCAAGAGCTACCAATATTTCCTGTCGCTCTTTCCTCTGGCTTATGCTTTCGCCCCTTATATTGCTCTTGCACCGTCGTCCACGCCCCCTCCAGGACAAGCCAGTGGGCCCTGGGTGTGGTTCTCCATTATTGTCGTCCTGTTCCTGCAAGTCACCGCTCGGACATTCACGCTTCCGACATCAATTATCCTCCTGAACAATTGCTCACCGCACCCGTCGGTGCTCGGTACGATACACGGTATCGGACAGTCAGTATCTTCGGCGTTCCGGACTATTGGGCCTATCTTTTCCGGAGCCTGGTATGGTTATGGTCTGGAGATAGGCATGGTTGGCTTCGCCTGGTGGCTAATCGCCCTTGTGTCCATCTTTGGATGCATAGCAGCGATCTTTGTTTATGAAGGCTCCGGCCACGAGATTCTGCTCCCGGGCGAAGAAGATGACCTGCGGTAAATTTTGCCTTCTTTATGAATCTTTCGTTTGAATTTCCTTGTTATGTACATATGTTTCGGCACATGCATAGTCCGGTGTCCTGTGGGGTGACCTTTTTTCTTGCTCATACCTTTTCTGCATCTTGCTGGCTTGATCGCCTGACTGGCTGCATCGTTTGCTCGGTGTTGGCTTTATTGCTTCGTTGCCCGGTACTATATTTGTCGCTTCATGCCGTGGACATTCTTAGCTTCTCTGTCTCATATGGTTGGGATTTTCTGGTTGGCTTTGGGCCTCATGCATGATACGGCAAAAGCACATATTCCCTTGGATTGGAAGGGCTAGATCATATAGAATATGATGACTGTATCTAGATAGATACAATAATAAACCCGTCAGATGTCACTCGCAGTAGTACAAGGCTACAATGTAGAAAGTCTCAAAGCCCATGGCTCATCAACCATTCATCAATCATTAAACGTGAATCCTCCTCGCTGAACGAATCAAGGTCATAATCACCGCCGCAGTGCCGCAAACCGTCGAGTCAACTCATCCAATTCCGGTATCGATCCAGGACCACCCGCATTCCCATTCCGCGCCCTGGGAGGCCCCTCAACCTGCGTCTCGGACTGGGTCTCGCTGCCGGGAACCTTGACACGCGGATTGGGGTTATCCGACCGCGGCCCCGGCGGCGCAACACTGACGGGACTCTTGACCGACTGGAATCCCCGGGGGGGAGTGGCCCTATTCAACTCCGAGGTCTCGGAAGCGCGCCGCGCCTCAGCCATGTTGACCGGCCGGGTCGGCGTGGAGGGGACAGCAGCGTCGCCATCGCCATCGCCATCAACGCGCTGGTCAGTATCGCCAGGCTGATCGCCGACAAACTCCGGAGGCGCCTCGCCGAGCTCGTTCTCGCTCTGGCTCTGGGCCCGCGCTCCCCACGAACTCCCATACGCCCTTGCAATCTCCCTGAGATAGCTCTCGACGAGCTCCTGTGTCGGCGGCTTCACGCGCAGCCCCTTGACCAGCCGTTCCGGCACCCTCACGTCAACCAGCTTGTTGTCTTGCGCCAGCGTCATGAACTCCTTGCCCCAGCGCTCGGCCAGCATGCCGCGCAGCATGGTCAGCTCGCGGACGTCGTGCGGGAAGCGCGGCCACGCGTAGAAGATCACGGCGGCGGCTTCGTCGAGCGCAGCGTCGATGTAACTCGGGGTCTGCTCCTCGTCATCGTCGGCGGCGGCCTCCTCCGCCTCGGTCTTGCGGCCTCTTCCCGGCGTGCCCTCTTGACTATGTGTCTGCTTCTTCGACCCGGACCCCGCGAAAAGTGAAAACCCCAGGAATGACTTGGATGCTCCATCGCCACTACCACCCGTTGACGCGCCTTGAGGGTGAGCGTGTCCGTGTCCGTGGCCGTGCGCCCCCATTTCCGCTTTCAGGGTCTCCTTGGCGCGACTCCGCGCGCGGGCGCCCTTCTCCCCGAAGGCGAGCTGATCGAGGACGTTGGCCCGCGCTAGGAGGAGCTCGCAGTACAGCTCGACCATCTCCATGACCTCGACGGCGATGTCGGTTGCGATGACATTCTCGACGCGGATGCGGGCAGAGGACTCGCGGCCTTCGTCCAGGAGGGTGGCGAGTTCGCGGCGCTGGATGACGGACGAGGCGGTGTCTTTTTTCTGGAGGAGGCGGAGGCGCGGGATGAGGAGCCGGAGGGTGGAGGTTAGTTTGTTCTTTATGTTGTGTTAGTGTTTGTTATCTCATTCTTGGAGAGGTGTGGTTGTGGTTGATGGAGTGGGATGTGCGGGGTAGGTCTGAGCTGCAGTGTTTCTCTTTATAGCAGATTCCTGGGCGGAAAGAGGGGGGTGTAATCTTCTTTGATAAGACTTACTGTTTGTACGGAAGGAGGCATTGTGAGATTGGATATTACTGATCGGGTTGTGCTGGGCCTGGATGGGCTGAGGATGTCGAGGCTGGCAGGTGTCAGGAGTCACTGCTGATAAGTTGATAAGGGACGGCTGCCTCCACTCCCATCTACTCCCAGGCATCCACAAAAGACGTCCATTACTGCACCTTGATAAACGAGCTATAACAGACATTATTGTGCTAACTGATCATTGCACCTCCGGGTGTTTCTTGATCACAAGCAGCCAGACAATGCTGTTTGCAATGCCCCGCTCCAATTTTTGACCATTCGGTTGCACTGTCGGTGCGAGTGCATGACAACCGCAGTGGATGCATCCTCTGGGACAGTGCGAAGCCACTTCACCCCTTCACGACACAATGATCAATGGCTTCAATACCACATTCCCCTTGAGACTGCGGGCCTGGGATGGACTCACCCGTGCAAACCCTTCTAGGGTCTCTTCCTGGGCCGACAATGAACCCTTGTCACGGGGGATGTGATGCTCGTCAAAAAGCCTGGCGCTGGATCAGACAGCGCCTCAGAGAGTCCAATCGGGGATTACTTCGAATTTCCGATTGTAGACGCAGGAAATGATCCGGTTTTCATTGCTTTGGCCCAATTAGGCTTCACACAGCGTCAGTCAGGTGAAGCCATCCAGGATGTGGGAATAGAACTTGGCAACAACGAATAGAAAGAGACAAGAGCCCACGGCCGCTGCCATCTGTCAGATCCCAATACTGCTAGACCGAAAAGGTGTCCAGATAGTGTGCTCCTTAGCTAGTGACTACACTGGTATTCCATATTGGACATCATTGTCGACGACGGAGTTACAGCTTCGTCCGCTATCTCCGAGGGCTCTGGCTACAAGGTGTTTAAATCCATGCTCACCTCCTGCATTACTGCCGGAATATCACTGAACTACTTGACAGCAATATCTTCATCATGGTGTCCAAAAAACTCACCTGGCTCATCACCGGCTGCTCCTCTGGTTTTGGTCTCTCTCTCACACGCGCCGCMCAGGCCGGCGGCCACAAGGTCATTGCCACCTCCCGCAACCCTTCCCGCACTCCGGAGCTGGTCGCTGAGATTGAAAGCAAAGGCGGCAAATGGGTCCAGCTGGATCTTGACAGCGCCCAGGGCGGCGACGTCATCACAGAGCTCGAAAAGGGCGGCGAGCAGATCGATGTCCTGGTCAACAACGCCGGGTACTCCATACACGCGCCCATCGAGACCATGACCGAGGAAGAGACACGCTCGCAGATGGAGACCATGTACTTTGGCCCACTGCGTCTGATCCGCGCGGTTCTGCCTCATATGCGCCAGCGCCGGTCCGGCGTGATTGTCAACATGAGCAGCGGGGCCTCGCTCGATGGGATTCCCACGATGGGCGTCTACGCGGGTGCTAAGGCTGGCTTGGATGGTATACATCGTTTCTTAAAACTTTTCCAAGGGCAAACAGCTAACTGCAATAGCTCTCACCAAAATCCTCGCCAAAGAAGTTGCTCCATTTAACATTCGCACTCTGACCGTCGTTCTGGGGACGTTTAACACCAACATGCTTAACGCAGTCGTCCTGGGCAAGACTCCTCTCCCTGACGACTACAGGGGCACCATCACCGAGCAGATGCAGGACCTTCTTGTGAGCGGGAAGATCAAGCTCAACGGTGACAAGGACAAGGCCATGCAGGCCCTTTACCAAGTGGTTGTCGGCGAGGGTGTGGGAGAGGGCCACGAGCCAGAGAAATTGCTGCCTTTGGGAAGCGACATGACTCCTCGTCTCAAGGGAGTGCAGGACTATCTCGGCCACGCCTTGGAGGTGTTTGGTTCCGTGACCAACAGCGTCGATGTGGATAAATGAGCGTCTATACGGATAGCACGATATATTACTGTCTCTAAGCTAAGCAGCCTTCTGTGTATAGTGATTAGGTCCCGACCTCAGACTCTAACTAGTATGCGGCGGTTAAGAGACATTTAGTATGCAGGGTGCAGATCCCGAAGAATGAGCTATGACATCTAAAGAATGACAGCTATGAAGATGTCCTTAAATTCCGACATGGCCCCTAAAACACTTGACTTGTGTTACCAGGTGGTCTCCGTTGTATCCACGCATCGCCAGTCTCTTGGGCTGGAAGCTACCTTGGAGAAGTAATAACATATATGCAAATGTCACATTGCTCCAGCCTATCACGAACTAGCGAATAATAGACATTATCAAAATCAGCTATCAGCTCACTATCCATCTCAGAATGATATGTTCAAGCCCCATCGTCAATTCAATCGGCAACAGCATAGCAGATCATGCATTCCAAATCCCCAAGTCAAAAGAAAACTGCTGATGAGCAGACAAAGTGAAGAATATAGAATATAGGCAGGTCAAAGGTCGTCAATATACAGATAACGTCAGTCGTCAAGAATGGTATAGTATGGTATGGTTCAATAGGACCAGGGTATCCCGAAGAAACGAAAAAGAATTATAAAGTTCGAGGCACCGAAGAGAAGTTGCGAAAATGCTAGTCCACGGCTAAGCTGGAGCTAGTAACAGCAATAAGAGGCAACCTGCAGCTACTACAGGTTGACCATGATCGCCGCCACTGCGCCCATGCCCAGAGTCAGCACGGAGACAGCAACATCGGCGGCGCTGCCCTCCTTGGCCTTGGAAGTAGAGCTGGGTGTGGCCGTGGCTTGTGCCGTACCAGCCGTTTCGGCTGCCATGGCCTGCACTGAGACCGACTGCTCGACGAACACATGGGGCTTGTACGTGTACGAGAAAGATCCTGATTCCGAGGCCTGGCCGGCGCTGGATGCCTTGGCGGATGAGCTGAGGTCGCTGCTGGAGGAGGGCGTGGCGGAGGCGCTCGAGCTCGAGCCTGTTTCAGAGGTTTCTGAGGAGGAGGATGACGAAGCAGAACTCGACGTGCTGGAAGATGCTTTGCTGGACGAGGTCGTTGTGGTGGTCGAGCTGGGCTGAGAGGTCGTGGAGGGTGCCGCGGTTGTGGAGTGGGAACCGCCATTGCTGTTGCTGCCGCCGCCGCCGGACTTTTCAAAAACCACAACGTTGGCCTTTTCGCCCTTGGGGACCGTTACCACACAGAAGGTGGCGCCTCCGGCTCCAACGGAGGAGCTACCGATCATCTCGTTGACCGCGTTCACCGCGGGGTCGATCCTGCATGGAAGGCCGTTGCAACCGCTGCCCTCGCACTCGATCTCGACACCAAATTCTGGGACGACGTCGCGGAAGGGCGTGGTGGGCTCCAGATAGATGGGGTTCCATCCGATCTTCACGAACGTGTTGCCATTACCGTCGGTGTTTGCGCCAGCAACATAAGGCGACCAGTTACCGATGGGGCTGGCAGAAGTACCCCAGACACAAGCGGTCTCGGTGTCATAGCCAGGAGGGTTGATATAGAAGCTGGCAACGGTCAATACGAAAATAGAGCATCTAACTGCCGACATGCACTTACTGAGCGGCGGTTTCACACCAGTAGCTGAGGTCAGGCACGGCAAGAGTAGCCACTTCCTCGACCAGAGTGGGGATCAACATAGCTTCATTTCCAGGCAGCACAGTCTGGCAGAACGCGACTTGCTTGCTGCACTTATTCTTCGCGCCGAGGGCACCCGTGCCATCCTGGCAATACGGCTTGTCGGGGAACGGCTTCTTGATCTGACCGTCCTTGTCGCAATAGAGACCGCCATTCTAGCACAGGGAGCACCGTCAGAATCTTCCTGTCGGCATGGAGTTACCGATGCAAAACTCACCATGGAGACGGGGTACGAATACGAGGTCGCTTTGGGATCCCACTGCATCGACACCTGGCCGGGGGGACAAGCGTACGGGCAGTAATTGCCAGGCTCGCAGGCCTGATCAGGGCTCATCGCCCATCCGGCATTCTTCATGTTGGGAGTCACAGCGACTAAACCGGCATCGGAGGGGAACTGGCATTTCCCTCCTCTCTTCTCCAATGGCGCTCCCACTTCAGCAACGGAGTGGGTGGCGCCGTGTTCATGTCTCAAATGGTGTAGGTGCGCATGCTTGGATGCCTCGACGCCGGCGATTAACCACAGCAGCGCAGATGCGCTGGAAACCATGTCGAATCTCATCCTGACGACGTTATTCCTGTATCTCTCCCTTATCAAGGTGATGTTGCGGATCGAAGTCGAAGCGAAGTCCAACTCCACACTCCGGAAACGAAAGACTAGGGTCAGTAAAATAGCAATATAACGAGCGACTACTCCGAAGAGCGAAAAGGAAGGGAACCACCACCGGATAAGGAGAGAGCGGGATGGATAGAGAAAGGAGGGAGAACGGGAAATGAACGCGAGCGAGGAAAAGGGACCAGCCCCAAGTCTACGGAGCAACACGAGCACTACTGTGGACTAGGCTACTAGCCCATTTTCGCGCCGACTCMAGACTCCATGAGTCGGTTGACTCCGTTGGGCGCTACGCTAGCAAGTCGCCAGCAGCGAATGAATCGTGGTACGCCCCATAGATGAAGCAACGGACTTCCCGATTGGGATAATCTCGAGGCTATTGAAACCTATGCCTATTCGGGCTGAGTGGTTGATTATTTAAACCAATGACAAGCTGCTTTGCCCCGGGCGTTCATGCCCCACTAGGCCCACTGGTGTTAGGCGAAGACATGAGTACTTTGCTAGCAGCCAATCAGAACCCGTGCGTCCCTGAGGCTACGGGGTCTGTCCCTGGGCATGATCCTGACCCTGATCCCACGGACGCTGCTACTCTCGTTAATATCGCTGACTGGAGTCTCCATAGATACTCCAGCTGTTACGGAGTACAGCTATCTATTTAACCGTACGGAGTACCTTAGTCGCTTTCAAATTTACCACGCAGCTTGACCAATTTAATACCTGGACTATTTAGCTTGTCTCCAATGTCACCTCTGGGAGAGAGTACCTAGTCCACCAGAAGTAGGGATTTTCCTTTTGCGAGGCCTAGACTTGTCAAGCTCAGTGATCAGCAGGTACACTGACAGTTTTACTAACAGGCGCCATAAACTTAGTGGACACTATTCAAATTTTTCTCTGTAACCAAACTTTGCTTCTCTTGCGGTTTGCGAAAAGGGGGCCAATCGGATAGTAGGTTTCTGGGAAATCAACTACCTACCCCCCAAGTTTACCAGCGAGCTTGTGATGTCTCCGTAGGGCAGTTTGGCTTTTTGTGCTACCTGAATACTATGGAAGAATAACACCTCGAACGAGCATTCTCGAGTCTTTTACGTAGTATTTGTTACTGATATGATCATGTTTGGTAGTATTCCAGGTGAGCTGCGTTCTAGATAGTGCGCTACAGCACGCCAAGGAGGCCATGGAAGGGATGGAACAGCTTCCAGAGCTTAGGCTCAGAAACATAATGTAGAATGAGAATCACTCTCCAGTCTGTCCCTCAATCTCCTTCCATCCATCAAACACCCCCGTATCCTGCCCCGCCCCGCTTCTCCATCCCCACGCAACGCAATAGTGCCGCGCAAGCAACTGCCACTCCTCGACCTCATCCAGCATCTCCAACCCGGCAACCCGCTCCTTCTCCGCCTCACTCACCCACCGCTCCCAGATGAAATCAATGTCTGCCGCCGCTTGCCCGGTATCAAGCCCGTGCTCCCGTAACCGTCTCCGCTGCGCCTCGAGCGACGCATACTCATGCAGTGTCTGCAGCTGGATCCCGCGCGTCGCGAGGTTGGCGACCATGGTTCGTCCAAAGGCGTCGTCCGGTCGGATGGGCTCGTAGAGGATTAAGCCCAATGGCACAGCTGCCGGGAAAAGGGTCTTGGTGAAGTATTCGACGACATCGATCGCTTCGTGGGGTGAGAGGTACACAAGGCAGCATTCTGAGATGAGTAACGTGGGAAGTGTCGGGTCGACACCCGGTAGCGGACAGGGTGGCTGAGCCTTCTCCGTCACATCGGGTGATGATGGGCTTCGCGAAGCGGTTGCTGACGCTGAGAGTGTTCGGAGATCAACAGGGTGGAGGTGGTATGTCGGCGAGTGCAATGCGTCGCCGGACTCGGAGATGGATACATTTTGGGCACTTCCAAATCCCAATGTCCGTTGTAAGAGAGGTGCTGCGCGGATGAACTTGATCTTCGCGGCGGTGTTGGCGGAGAAGTCGATCTCGTGATAGATCAGATTCTCACCTGAGGACGGCGAGCGAGAGGAAAGCAACCGGAAAATGCGCGTGTCCGATCCTGCACCTAGTGAGATGATCTGCTTTTTCGTCTGTGAGGGGCCTTCTAAGAATCGCGCAACGAGTCGATCGATGGCGGTGGTGCGGACGTAAGTGCCTGTTGTGCGGCTTCATGTTAGCTCTGCAGAAAGGTAAAATGGCTCCGGTAGAAGGGCTCACCTCTGTTAATTATGGGAAGCCTTCTTGTTTCGGACCCGGGAGGCGTTAACGCCCTCGCAAAAGGATCCTCAAGATACCCAATTTCCACTGCGCTCAACCGGGAGACGCTGGCGTCATTGTCTGTCCCTTGTACGACACGGTCCTGGGCTCCTGTTCCCCGTGATCCATGTCTTTCTTCGCCTGGTGTGCCTGTGCCAAGGCCTCCACGGCCTCTAAGACGCCCTCGACCTCCACCACGACGGAGTGTGTTCAAATTGGGTATCTGAGAAGCTGACATGTCCGAGAGATATTTACCACGCGAAGGGGGGAAGCTCTGGGCGGTGATGATGATATTGGCGGGGTTGATCAGTCCCCGCCACACTGGATTGGATCCACGACCCACTGCACGATCCACGAACGTTATCTAGTTGACTGTTTCGAAGACTGATTTGCAATTGACAGAACCAATGCAGGAGTAAAGAATAGAATACCTGTCCAACGTTTTATTTATACCAGTCATGGCGTCAACCGTCCACCTGTCTATATCACAGCACAACGCCGTCTATGCTACCTATGAACCCACTATTCTATCTATACATATACAAAGTTGTTGCGGCACAGAGGGCAGGTGCTCTGGTTGCTGCTCTTGAACCAGCGGAAGAGACACACCGAATGGAAGGTGTTCTTGCAAGTGGCGCATCGCTTATTCGGCGTCTGCATGTCCGTCGAGATCACCGAGTAACAGATGGCACATTCGCTCTGGCCCTTCAAGGCACCCTGCACGTTCTTGCGGAAGGCCATCAGTCCGTCCACAAGATTGCCACTGGAGAACATGATCACACCCTGAATGGTGAGCAGCCAGCTCTTCCACTTCCTCTCGTCGACCAGCACTCGGCTGCGCCCAACGACGAGGGCAGGCTGCAGTGGATATGCTGGAGGAAGGGAGATCGACAGCGCCACAGGAGGCGACTCTTCATCAACAGGGATGCTCGCGATGATCTCCGCAGTCTTGGGAGAAACCTTCACTGAAAGTGCGCGCTCTTCGTTGGGATCCTGTGTGGCCATCCACTCGTCCACCCCTTTCAGTGAGTCTTCGATGATCAAAGGCGAGATCTCCAATAGTCGTCAGTAACGCCATTTCGAGGCAAAGTAGATCTAAAAAGAAAGACTTACATATCTCTCTGTCCACGTCTCAACAGGCCCTTTTATGCGCTTCTTTGTGTCCAGCCACCAGTTCTTCGTCATATTGCCAAGGTGCTTCAAACACAAAAAGTATAAATGAACCAAAAGCCATTGGATCTCTTTCTCTTGAGTCTCGGACTGATCAGGTTCAAAGGAGCGAATGTCAAACTTCGAAGCATCCACCAGTTTATTGTGGGACTGCTGAAGGAAATCAAACATGAACTCTAACAATGGACCGAGGCTATCGTTGTCCTTGATGCTTGCAACATATTGCTCCTGAACCGGGAGAGACTATTGTATGAAATTAGCAACAGCTTGTTTTGTATTCGAGAGCGTGTCAACACATACCGCGTTGATAAAGTGGTCAAATACGACTTTCCAGCTCAGCAAATATGATCTTATACTGGTCCAGATCTTGTCATCGCCGTCCGCAAGAGTGATTGATTCCGTTGTAGGGGCTTCCAGTAGCAAAGACATGAGCTCATCAGGAAGTCTGACCACAGACTTGGATAATGCCACATCAAATGAGACTTGTTCTTGCACTGATGGAATATAACGATGCAGGAGAGTAAAAGCCGCACGTTGGACCACTCGGCTGTCAGCCGTCAGGAGATGGAACATCTTACTCGCATCTTCGAGGCTCTCGACAGGCATCACCTTGATCAAGCGGCATAACACTTCAACGGTAACGTCCCGGGGCTGATGGAAAGCAATGGTGTAGTCTTTTAAAAGTCAGTCCGTTGGACAGCTCAAAATGAGGGATGCGTTCTATCTCACCAAATTTTGTAAGGGTTGAGGCTAATCCGTTGAAAAGGACCGTCTTGCGTTCTGACCAGGCGTCTTTGACATCATCATTGCTATCTTCTTCAGCAACGATTGACCTCAGGCTTGCAAAGAGTCTGAAGGAAGCAAGGAGTAGGGGAAGAGCCTCATCGCCCCCGCTAGATTCGCGCCAAACCGTGCTGAGAGCTTCCATGCAGTCCTCCCAATGCGATCCATAGATCTCATTCAGGCAAGGAAGGACAAAGGTCAGGGTATGCATGATCTCGGCTCTAATATTGAGCGCCAAGTTCTCGGACTGGAGACATTGTATGAGATGCTTGACAAGGAAGACTAGACGCTGAGTTGGAATGGTTGCCGCCACGTTTGTCTCCCCCGCAAGAAGAAGATTAAGCAAAGACAGTTTTCGGAGACCTTGACGCGCATCAGCAGAGTCACCAAGGGATGATCCTAGTGGCAACTTACCTTCCTTCTTCTCATCTTGAGGCTTCAAGCCCGTAGAGTCTGCAACCAGTTCATTGCACAGCCGGTTGCCCGTCGGATTGATTAAGATTGAGTCACGTAAGACGGCCACCCAAGATGCCGATCGAATGGCATTAGAGCTTCGCACTTCCCTGCACAATTTGGTAATCTCATCTGTGGATTTATTCTTGTTAGCGGAGTCGATGCTGTTCATCAGTCTGACAAAGGCTTCTCCAATACGATAGTCCGTCGGAGAGGTATTGTTCAGAGCTTCAAGTCTGTTCTGCCAGAAGGACAGGATCGTTGAGGCGATTGTCTCATCTCTTCCAGGTAAACGACCGTCTGAGCGCGTCCACTGGTTGATCACTTTGCGGCCATCGTAAACAATCTCCAGGTATTCTTCTCGTTGGTCTGAGTGCATTAATCCAGTAATACCATTGCAATTTTCAATGCTCAGATCGTCATCAATCAGCTGTACAGCCAAGGGTATGTAGTGAAACAGTGTCTCCTGCTCGTCTGCCGAGAGACTGCCCGTTATATCAAATGATGAAAGAACTCGAATTGTGAAGTATGCGAGACGGAACGCGGCCGAACAACCACTGGAGTCACGGGAAATAGTGCGGTACTGCTCCTTAATTGTATCCGATACCTCAGGGTTTACTATATAAACAGTCCCGCCAATTGGGCTTGTGATAGCTGTCGATGGGCGAGGGGGAAGCTCCAGGAACGGCCGTAAGGCTGTTTCCCATGTTTGACGAGAGGGCAAGATGTCTTTAGCGATGGAGGCCCCGGCCTCCGGGTCAGCAGCACGAAGTAAGTCTTCTGCTATGCTTAAGAGAGATTGAATCCTTGAAAGAAGTTAGTTTGACCGGATATCCTTCTCTCCTCAGCTCAGAACTTACGAAAGTGATTCCTCATTTACGTGATCGAAATTGTACTGCAAAATCTCAAAACTCGACTTGGCGCTCGTCTCTCCGACCCCGATCTCTTTGAATTTTGTTAGCAGTGACTCTGCAAGACTGGTCACTTCCTCGTCAGAAGTTTCTGCCAGAAACAGAAGCTTTCCAGCTAATTTCGATCCGTGAGCTCCGGCCTGGAATTTGCTCAGCGCATCCGGGACAGATTTTGCAATCTGAGAGAGCCCATGCAGCGTTTCAAAGACCTTCGTTGGCTCAGACAATGAATCAACGATAAACAAGAAGATCAAGTCCGTTAGTTCACCGTGTGATGTTTGGTTCTGAAGTGCCGCGATCACGATTGGCCAGTGGAATCGGCTACCTCTGCAAGCTTGGTCCAAAGCCCGTTTGATCAATGAGTCGAGGCCTGTTTTGTCATGCACTTCTTTGAAATCGAGAGTTGCAAGTAGCCTCTGCACAGCATGTATATTTGATTGCTCTGGTTCGGATTCCGCCACTCGTTCGACCACTTTCTCAAAGCTAGAGCCGAATCCCTTCCAAGAACGACAGGACAAGATGACTGATATGAGGCGATCAGCCGATGGCGAGGACAGCAAATCGGGAGCATCATTCTGAACAAAGTCTGCCAATTCTCGAGATTGCTGCGCAATATCTGCAGCGTTGCGGATCATCTCTTCAACGACTGCTGCTGCTGCATATGGCTTGCCATTCCGAGAGCGCAATACTTGCAAGCAGTTGTCCAGAAGTGGCAGGTTTGTCTTGTCAAGAACACTAGATACGGAAGCTTTCGCCTCAGTATCGGCTACACTTGCAAGCACTGAAGCCTCAAGAGCAAAGAGTCGTCCAGCTTGCGCACATACCGCATCTTGTGACGATCTGAACTCCTTTGACTGCTCTGGAGCGGATAGTCTGACTGATTCGAGAAGACCATCGGCTAAATCGGTCCACAGCCGCTGGAGTTCGCTGTCATAATGGCTTTTAGCTAATGCGAGAGAATACTCTGTGCAGAGAGCTACAGCATTCTGATTCGGGAGGGCCCATTGCGGCGCATTCTCCGCTCTAACATGTTGAATGACTAGAGGAGATAGCCTTGTGCGCAGAAAAATGTCCCTATCGCTCTCGGGTAGTGAACTCGCTAGCCAAATCCCTGTCTCAATGTAAGATTTCCAGCCCACAGGTTGATTTTGCCGAGGCTCTTCTCTTGAATTCAATCCAAGTTGAAACGCCTCCGTCAACAAAGTCGCACTCGATAGCCCAATAATGCCGTCAGTAGATGCCTGCGGATCAGTTTTCACCAGCACCTCCGCAGGTATAATCTGCAGTAGTTGGCGAAGATTTGACCAGAAGGACCCCACGCCTCCCTGAGAGCCTTTCTGGATGTATTGCAGGAGTCTCTTGGAAGACGTAGTCTTTCCAGAGTAGTCTTCCGTCCACAATTGTGGTCGTGCTGAAGTTACTTCCAGCAAAGATTCAGAGAGATCTGAGGCTGACCCCAATTGGTTGATGGACAAGGATTTGCCAATCAGAGCTGCACTAATGATCCTCCAATCCAGCTCCTCCGGTTCTTTTGCCACTGCAGATCTAAGCAAGACATAGACCGACCTGCGAACAAATGGATCGTCATGAAAGCAGAGGGACCACATCGATTTACTATTCAGGAGATTCTCCACCGCGGCCAGGTCTTTTTGGAGATCTTCGTGAGTCGAATTTGCTAATGAAGTTAGGGCGAGTGAGCGACTTTGGGAAACGATACACACACCTATGACGCGATTCAACAGTAGGAGTGCTGTTCCTACTACGCGAGCATACTTTGCCTCCGCATCATCAGGCTTCACTGTCCTTTCATCACTCAGGGTTTGAGGAGTTTGTTGTAGAATAACATCATCTACAAAGTCGAGAATTGAGCTCTGATAGACTTTCCATACTCCATTTCTTTTCTCTTCGGTTGTGAACACCTCCATGAACGACTCCAGGGCAGCTCGATGCACGGGCCGGTCATTATCGTAGAAGCCTGCAAGCCATGCCCCAATTACCTTAGGCAAATATGGGGCTATCCTCTTGCCAACAACGCAGGCAATGGATCCTTGAACTGAATGAGCCGTCTGCCTCACTCTACGGGAAAGGTCAATCGAGGCCCGTGGGTAGATTTTGATCTGCGAAATACAATCAACGTCAAATTGCTGTCTGCAAGATAAGCTTGTAGACATACCCAAGCATCCAAGAACCCGTCGTCAAGAGTGGCACCACGACTTTCGACTGTCGATACATAATCTTTAATGTCATCTAATGCTTTTATTCTCGTAACTTCATCCTTCTTCAGAAAGTTCTTGAAAGAAATGGCAAGTTTCGCATCCGCAATTCGCGACAGATCTGGTGGCGCGGTCACATATGTGAGAGAGGAAGGAGGTCTTCCTGAACTCGAGAAGGAACTGGAGAATCCACCAAAAGACCCATATGTACTGGCAGCAGCGCGGCTGCTCGAGGCCTGCGATTTGAACTTTTTGCTCATAGTAATGTGGGGTAGCGGAGTAATAGAACAGCGCGAAGAATGGAAAAACGAGAGTAATATGAGGGATAAATGAGTGAATGGACGTGGGTATTCGTGGCTAGACAGTCGGTGAGCCGCAATTAGAGAATTATCCAAGTCCAGAACAAATTCTTCGCTTCATCTCCAAATCGCCCTAGCAAACGTCACTGATCTCTTTGACTGCCATATCAAAAAGCGGCGTGATGATCGGGCTCCCGATAAGGAGATCACGTGGGCTGGTGTCATCGATCGCCTAAAGAGGAAAGGTCAGTTTGCGGTCTAGCTATGCTGCTTGTCTTTCATGAGAGAGAGCGAGCTCAATTCTGTCAGGCAGCTGGACCACGGTGGCGCTCTACTCTCACAATGAAATTCATGATAGAGTAAGTCTACAGATGTTAAATCAGTTGCTAGAAGAAATAAGCTCCTCTAACAAACCTTTATCGTCCATTAGTGATCTCCCCGTCCTGTTCCCTTATCCTCGTATATACCCCGAACAGTATGCCTACATGTGCGATCTTAAAAAGACCCTCGACGCCGGGGGTCACTGCGTTCTGGAGATGCCGTCAGGCACCGGAAAGACCGTTTCGCTACTATCGTTGATTATAGCATATCAGCAGCATTATCCGGAGCACAGGAAGCTCATCTACTGCTCTCGAACAATGTCCGAGATTGAAAAGGCGTTGGCTGAGTTGAAGGAGCTGATGAAGTTTCGCACTCAGCAGCTGGGATATACCGAAGATTTTCGAGCTTTAGGTCTCACCAGTCGAAAAAATCTGTGCCTGCATCCGTCGGTGAAACGAGAGAAAAGTGGCACTGTCGTGGACGCGCGGTGCAGGAGTTTGACGGCTGGTTTCGTTAAAGAAAAGAAGGAGAGAGGCGAAGATGTCGAGCTATGCATCTATCATGAGGTATGCGCTCATGTTTGGAAGTTGTGGTGGAGATTCCTGACTGTTTAGAACCTCGACCTCCTCGAACCGCATAACCTTGTTCCTCCCGGCGTCTTCACTTTAGATGGGCTTCTGAAATATGGAGAAGAACACAAGCAATGTCCTTACTTTTCCGCGCGGCGCATGGTAATATAACGCTTGAAGTCCTTGTCGGTGTGTGCTAACACAGGTTCAGATGCCTTTTTGCAACGTCATTATCTATTCCTATCATTACCTCCTTGACCCTAAAATCGCGGAGAGAGTGTCGCGAGAGCTCTCTAAGGACTGTATAGTAGTATTCGATGAAGCACACAACATCGACAACGTATGTATTGAAGCGCTGAGCATCGATATCACCGAAGACTCGTTACGGAAAGCCACGCGGGGCGCAAACAACTTGGAGCGAAAAATCTCCGAAATGAAGAGTTCGGACGCAGAGAAACTACAAAACGAATATTCAAAGCTTGTGGAAGGTTTGAGAGAAGCGGAACAAGCCAGAGAAGAAGACCAGTTCATCGCGAATCCGGTGTTACCGGATGACTTGCTCAAGGAAGCTGTGCCAGGCAATATACGGCGGGCGGAGCACTTTGTTKCCTTCCTCAAGCGCTTCATAGAATACCTCAAGACACGAATGAAAGTCACCCATACTATATCCGAAACGCCACCCTCATTCTTGACACACGTCAAAGACCTTACTTTTATCGAGCGAAAGCCTCTACGTTTCTGCGCTGAACGCCTTACTTCGCTAGTGCGAACACTAGAGCTTATTAACATAGAGGATTATCAACCATTACAAGAAGTTGCAACGTTCGCGACCTTGGTCGCGACATATGATAAAGGGTTCCTGTTGATTCTTGAACCATTCGAGTCGGAAACGGCCACGGTACCAAATCCAGTACTACACTTCACTTGTTTGGACGCCGCAATTGCGATCAAGCCCGTCTTCGATCGGTTCAGCTCCGTCATCATCACTTCTGGGACCCTCTCGCCGCTCGAGATGTATCCGAAGATGCTCGGCTTCCCCACTGTACTGCAAGAGTCGTACACTATGACGCTTGCACGGCGGTCTTTCCTGCCTATGATCGTGACGCGAGGCTCAGACCAGGCCCAGATTTCGTCCTCATTCCAGATCCGAAATGATCCTGGCGTCGTGCGCAACTACGGGAACATCGTCTTGGAATTCTCACGGATCACACCTGATGGTATTGTTGTCTTCTTTCCATCTTATCTATATATGGAGTCGATCATCAGCATGTGGCAAGGAATGGGTATCCTAGACTCAATATGGAGCTATAAATTGATCCTCGTTGAAACTCCTGATTCGCAGGAATCATCGCTCGCCTTGGAGACCTACCGGACAGCATGCTGCAATGGGCGTGGTGCCATCTTGTTTTGTGTCGCTCGAGGAAAGGTCTCCGAAGGTATCGATTTTGACCACCATTACGGTCGTGCGGTATTATGTATTGGAGTTCCCTTCCAGTACACGGAATCTCGGATCCTGAAAGCCCGCCTTGAGTTCCTGCGCGAGAATTATCGAATCCGGGAGAATGATTTCTTGTCGTTCGACGCTATGAGACACGCAGCGCAGTGCCTGGGGCGTGTCTTGCGTGGCAAGGATGACTACGGAATCATGGTTCTAGCAGATCGTCGATTCCAGAAAAAAAGGAACCAATTACCCAAGTGGATCAGTCAGGCCATGCTGGAGAGTGAAACAAACCTGAGTACGGATATGGCTGTGGCTACTGCGAAGAACTTCTTGCGTACAATGGCCCAGCCATTCAAGGCCAAGGATCAAGAAGGAATTTCTACATGGAGCTTGGCCGACATAGAACGGCATCGTGAAAAGCAGATGCTGGAGGAAGAAAGACTGCGCAGAGAAGCGGCCGCCAATGGACAGGTCATGAACGGCACTCATAATGGTGCTGGTGCCGCTGCAGACGAATTTGATGACGATATAGACGAAGACCTCATGATGTTGGATGCACAGTAAAACAGTTTGGACGCATCATTTTCTTCTGCCAAAAGCAACTCTTGTGACTTTTGAAGCGGATTTTTTGTATATACGGGATACTGGTTTATGATACCACGGGGTTTTCGGTGTATACTTTCCTGTAGTACATTAGGTCCTTCTGCTAGAATTGGAACTGCGCGTCATTGACTTGATCCTTTCAAGAGCTTGATATAGTAAATTGATTGATCTATTCATCTGCTCACGGTGTAAATGCTATCGGAAAAGGAACAAGACTTTTCTTGGATACCGCTGAGACAAACTCCGAATCGTAGGATACATCAAACATACAAAAGACATGGATAATGCACAAGGAAATACGCAGGCATATACAGTAATTGAAAATCATATGGTATGTCATGCACCGAAAGCTCCCAATCATGCGACAGGAGCAAGCACGTCGAAGGCGCCCGTGCCGACCATGCCAGACCGGCCCGCAACGATTCTGCTGCTGGGGCTCTTGAGGTTATCAAAGTCCCTCTCGATCACCGCATCCTTCAGAAAACCGACGGTGGTCTCGAAACTCATCTTGGCCAGAGGCGACGAGCTATCCTTGACGAGACCGTTGCGGTTGAAGGCGCGGAAACCACCAGACTGGGTCATCACATCACCGATCAAATTCAAATGGCGGTTGTCAACTGAGATACTGTGACCCTGGAAAACGTCCGACATTTCTCGCACGATGGATGCGCGCGCGGCCTCGACACCGTAGAGCATGAGCATGTGATGGATTGAGTTGGTGTAGATGGAGTGAGGCTTGATGATATCCTGGTAATCGCGCATGGCAAGCAGATTGACACCCTCGGTGATGACGTGTGCGGGCTCACCCTTGAGCGGGTTCGCCTCGACATACGTGCAGTTACCGAGGCCAGGGATAGACTGGATGACGGCGCTGCGAGCGGCTTCTTCAACCAGAGGCAGGAGGAGGAGCTTGGGAGTGGAGATGTCATACTGCAGCTGGACGACGCATGATGTGCCCTTGCTGGGGTTGAACTTAAACTGTGTGACTTCGCCATATTTGCCCTTGATATCCTCCTCGCGCAATCTGGTGTCTTTCGTCTCAGCATCTGTTTCTTCGTCGGAGTCGTCCTCCATTTCGACATCAGAACCCTGGCGACGGTCCTTGCCACTTTCTTCCTCATCTTCGTCATCTTCTTCAGCATCCTGCTGTCGGACCATGTCTATTTCTTCCTGTTCGGGACCTTCGTATGAGACTTGGTTCGATCGGTTCTGACCGCTCCTCGCCCGCTTGGCGTCGTCTTCATCATCCTCATCATCGTCTTGTGCGGGTTCGACCTCACGGTCGGGTCCCCGCGGCCCCTCCTCGATGACGCCCACAGAAACACCAATCTCGGGCTGGGCCGTCGAGAAGCTCTTCAATGACTTCTCGTCATTACGTCTCTTGAGCTCGGCTCTAGTGAGCTTAACAAGCTTTGGAATGAACTTGTTCTGCAGAGTGTTTTGGACGTCTTTGGTCGTGATCGCATACTCTTTCGTGTACTCCTCTACTGGGAAGAAGGCAATCTCGACGTCGTAAACCTTGGAGCGTGAACCGGCTGAGGCAATTCTCTCCTTGACTTGAACCTTGTCGATCACCTCAGCAATACTGAGCTTGCTGATTGCCTTCGCAAACCTCTCACAATGTTCCTTTGACAATTCCTCGTTCAAGATCAGCGTCATCGTAGGCGTCATGATGTGAGCGCTTGCAGTCATGACAATTTCACGCAGACGGGGAATACCCAGCGTCACGTTCTTTGCCGAGTGACCAGCCAAATGGAAGGTGTTCAGGGTCATCTGGGTTGACGGCTCTCCAATAGACTGACTAGCAACGATACCAACTGCTTCGCCAGGGTCGACGACAGACTTGAGATACTTCATGTTCATCAAAGTATTGAATGCCTTCTTACTGATGAGACCGTCGATACTCTTCTTCTTGTCTCGCAGAAGTTTGTCAGGGTTGGTGTCCTCGTACTGCAGCTTTTGTTAGTTTCGAATGTGTGGAAGGAGGATTGTAGCGGATGTCTCATACCTTCTTGAGCGCCTGCGAG